GAAGGGTTCTGACCTGGCGTACGAGTTGTGTAGAAAATGGTGATTGAGAGCAGCAGGATGAAGAGGAGCAGCAGCCGCACTTTCATCTTCCTCCCCATGCGCGCAAAGACGCTCCGTATCCTCCCCGTCAATGGAACCTTTTGCGCGCCCCATTGTGGTCTGTCCAGCTTCTCCTTCTCGGCGTACGGGGTCTGGTTGTTGAATCGTGGCAGGCTGCTCGATATGCGGCGCATGTGTCGTGTGAAGAAGCCCTGGTTCTGGGTGGAAAAGGAGGGATAGCCGTTCATGCCGCTTGGAGACCTCATCTTGGCGGTATCCCAGGGTGTCGAGGCGCCGTTGGAAGCTGAGAAGCCTTTGCTCGGGGTGGTTCGACCGCTGGTGTTAATGGTCAAGCCAGGGCTGGCCCAACCACCTCCAGGTATAGGAGACGGGCTGCGGGAGAGGGACATTCCTGCGGTATTGGGGGTGCCTGCAGCGTTGAAAGAACACGAGAAGTCAGCAAGCGGGTCCTGTCATTTGGCTGTCCAACCCGTATTTGCGTCGGTGGCATGTCGGTGACGGGGGTGGTCAGGAAACAAAGAGATGGGAAGCATGGAGGTGTGCCACGGGCTGGAATGTGGATTGTGTGGTTTGCGGGCGAGGATGCAGATAGAGATGCAGACACAGCAAGGTGCATACACAGATACAGATACGGACACAGGATCGGGGGGCATGTCATAGCAAGGCGAGTCGAGGCGACGTACCTGGGATCGGGGCAAGAGCAGGCGGTTGGCCGTGTCCGTGGCCTTGAACCCCCAGGAATTGAGGAGAGCCACGGTCAGGCCCGTCGACGGTGACAGCAAGGCCGCTTGAGGCAGAAGAGCGCCGCCGATGATGTGAGCGGGTTGGCCTTCGATCGCTGAAGGACGAAGAGGCGGCGAAGGGCTGTGAGGGATCCAGATTGAAGAATTGATGGGGGTTGTGACCAGATGGCACTCGAGCCGTCTGGTTACAACACACAACGGAGGATTGATGGACGAGATAGACTCGCTAAATGTAGGTAGGGGACCTAAGGGGGTCTCCGTATCCGAAAAAGGGGAGGGGGTCCTCGTGGGCAAGGGACGGACGGGAGAGAGAGTCTGAGTGTCGTCCTGCAGTGGTAGCGCGGTGCGTGTGCCTGATGCCGGCAGAGTAACTTTTGGCGGGGGAGAGTGAGGCTGTACTGCTGTCCTGATGCCGGGAAGGTGCTATGCGCGAAGACGCCAAAACGTAAAAGCAAGGCCTAGGCCGTGAGGGATATGGTGGTATCGGTGGTTCTGGTGGTTCTGGGCGACGACGCTGTCCAGTCGGCTGCGTTGATATTACGGGACGGGGGAACAAACAGGAGGAGGAAAAAATTATTAGGGAGGAGGAGCAGGGTGAGAGTGGAGGAAAGTCGTCTCCAGGCTGGGGCGGTTAGGTTCTTTGCTGGCAATGGAATCCGGGCGACTGGGGACAGAGGAGAACGCGGTGGTGCTGGTGGTGGCTGCAGCGAACTGGCCTCCTGCTGCCACTGGCACTTGCACCTGGGGGGTTTGCAGTGGAGTGGAGGGGACGGAGCAGCTGTGAGGTCACTGGCACCGGGGGGGACAGATGCCAACTCGTCAAACAGGAGAGAAGAGATAGAGAAATGCAGATGCAGTCAGCCAGACGGAAAAAAAAGGACCACGGGGGCTTTTGCACATGCAAAGCGCTGACTCCTGTGACTCCAGGAAGGGAAGAAGAACGCCCGCCTTTTGTGTGATTATTTGTTTTCTGGTCTCGTATCTGCAAAAGGAATGGGCAAACGGGCAAATAAAATAAGGGAGCCCTTCCACCCCCTTCTCTTTAGACTCTGTCTCTCAGGTGCAGAGAGTGCCTGGACCCAACCTCACTTGGGTAAGGTTTTTTTCTTTCCCTTTTTCTCTCTCGTGGTGCCAGCCGTTCTGCTGCGTCTAATCTTTTTTCGGACGAGAGGGTCTCCTGGCCGCCAAGATGCGGTGGACCGCTGACATTACATCAGGCGCTCATGCGTCGTCACAGTCGAGACGGAGACGTAAGTAGATGACACATGGCTTCGACACCCAGTTTGATGTTAGGGACGGGTCTCGTGTACCTGGAGGGGTGGCCGCGTTCGAGAAGAATAAACTCTCAGGCGCCCCGAAACTCTCTGTCACCTTATTCGGACTCTCCAGCATACAAGTAGAAAGGCAGGGCGCGCGATTGCCGTCATCTGATTGTTGTGCCTGGAGCTATGTCATCGCCTAGGATCTCCTTATCTATAAAAAACAATGTTTGCAGATCGGATTCATGTTAACTGAGCGATATGTTACGAATATCGACCGCAAAGGGAGGTGGGAAAACGCGCGAAATGACCAGACGAGATTGCGAACCGAACGATACTGACACCTAGGGATGATTTGACTGATAGCGCAATAGGACTAGCTGAGGTAAGGAGGTCGGAGAAGTAATACAGACAGCAACTTGCAAGTCAAGACACAAACGACTGGTCCTGCACCTCAGCAACTCGACTCAACTGAAGGATCACTATTGGAGCGCCGGGAGATCTCGCATGCGGTGAGCTGAGATGCTAGTGGACGTGAAATGCCAATGGGCTGCCACCCGTCGTTAGCGCCCTGCATGGCAAGAATCGCGCAGCCATCACCATGTGCGAGGGTTGTAGTCAGCACATGCGCAAGACACGGAAGAGGATACAGCCATCAGCCGTTTTGTCTCGTGTCGGGCGCGGCCTCGCGATGTGCTTGGAAAGCGACAGTGAAGCCAGAAGACGAACGACTCGACAGTGATGCGCCATTGCACCTCCAAACAAAGTAGTTCTTGACGTGTTTGATCCTCCCGGTAGAGATTGCACTCAAGATCGAAGCGGAGCCCACCCCCCCCCCTCCTCTCGCCCTGCTATCCCTCAAGTCTGGGCCGCATTTTAAATTAACAACGCTGTTCCGGTGACACCATCAAAGTTCAGACCTGGCCCTCCCGGTCTCGCAAAATGCGAGGTTGAGGGCGTCGGGACAATTCGAGTGTTCCGGGCCAATGCTTAAACCAACAGCCTATTGTCACCTTGTTCAAATTGGATTTCGCTGACTGCGAAAGACGGCGACGCCGAGAACACGTCCCGACAACAACACCTCCTTCGACCGGCCTTCCATGGCATTGTTGAGAACAAAGACAGTTCGAGTGATCTCAAACGCTCCAATGCTGTTTTCTCTGTGTTGCCTCGTGGACGGCAACTTTTGCCAATTTATCCGTCGAACCCGTTGCGAGGCACCTTGTGCACAGCCACTTATGCTGCTGTCCGCCCGCCCAGCACCTGAGACCGGACGTGTCGGGTCCTCCCTCACCATCACCAGCCAAGACAGGTCCCAAGGCCGCGGGAATTAACGACACATTCGGCTGACATGTAGGCGCAGGTGACTGTCCACAGAATGAGATGGCGGACGGCGAGTCTGTGGCTCTGTCACGTACGTGCCGTCCGAAGAAGCTCCAGCCGGCAAGACGTGGTACTGGAGAGTCGCGGACTCGAGCACTTGTGATGCCGATGCCTTGTACGGAAGCGCTGTGAATTTGCATCCTGTTGCGAGTTGGTATCTCGATTTCTCAATTGCCCCCACGCCATCTGAACACTTGGCAGGAGAACAGACGTGCGTTGAGGAGTTGACAAGTCAACAACGAGCTAGACCCCTTGCTCATGAGCTGCGACATGTTCCTTGGAGACCTGTGTCTTCCTCAGAAACTGTATGAGGTTAGATTCGTTCGCCGCGTACGCCATTCCTCCCGCCCAACGGAAAGACGTTGTGTCCGCTTCGGAAATCCGTTGTGAGACTGCCGACGATGCGAAGATGGCCTTTGATGGCTTCCGAAATCCGACTTTCAGCTTGACCTGCAGATCTAGAGGCAAGGAAATATGTAGGCAAGGGGCTAAGGGAGGCACAACTCGGCCGGGAGAGCGGCAGCCTCCCGTTCTCGAGACCTGTCTCGGCCCCCACTGCGCCGGTAGGAACACCACCTTAGGAGAAGGGGGTTCCGTCCGCCGTAAGGTAGGCATGCAGCGGTTGCATTAGGTAAGAACCTAGATGGAAGATTATGTCAGCTGCGACTTACCCAGGCTCAAGTTCAATCGAACGTTCCCGGCAATCGCGCACGAGCCATTTGATTCATCGCGCCTTCCCAGTAAACAACTCCATTCAATTTTTGGCAACGCAATATCGCCCAATTTGCCTCCTCCAGGCAATGATTTGACCACGCGAGACGAGTCGCTGGCAAGCTCAGTCGAGCGTTGCATGCCGCAGAGCCATGCAGACGGCCACTAACCGCGGCCAATTGACTGGCCAGCAGCGCGGTCGCTTGTGCAGGCCCGAGAGCTGGTCAGCGGCACCAGAGCCAATCATCTTATCGCGATGGCCAACTGGGCGCCTACCTCATACTGCGACTGCAGCATCCAGCCAAACATCGTGAAGCCCAGCAATGACCCATGAACACACAATGCCCGCTTTGTGGTCAATCTCCCCAGTCATATAATGAAGCTAATCACTCCTGCCGCGCAAATGTGCTCCCTCCTGCTTGTTTCGCATTTCCAAAGGTGGTAGAACAGCTTTGGTGGGTGGTAACTGGTTTCCTTTTGTCACTCTCTTCTGGTCTCTGCTGCGTCTATTCACGACTCATAATCGAGTATTCCATTGAACCGTCCTTTGTCGATCGTTTCAGCACTCCTTCCAGGCACACTGTTCTTTCCCTCTTTCCACTTTTTCTTTCCATCTCCAATCACCCTCTTTGACCACTGCAACCATCGCCTTGTCACGACTCGACTGGCTTCGAAGACAAAGAATTTTGCATATGCCTTCATGAGCATCTCATCTATCTATTTTTTCAACGGCTCGGTTTTTTGTTCACTCTCTTCCGAATAAAAAAAATTGTCTGGACTCGAAATTGAAACGGCATCACTTTGACATCCCGACACCCCACACCCACACATGAACAGCACCAATATGGCTTCACAAGCCCGCCCCGCGCCTCAACGGCAACCATACGAACGACGAACCGAGGCTGAGAGAGACGACTGGGAAGACTGGGAAGATGACGATATTGTCACGCCGATCATGGACGATGAAGAAGACCTCATTGCGAACAAGTCGGCAGCCCCCAGCCCACTCCGACCAAGCAAAGCACATTCTGCAAGATACTCGCAGCCCAGGCAGTCTGTGCAAAAGCTGCGGCGGCTCAAATCCCGGCACAGGCAGAAAGCTCAGAATGCGAAGGCTGGGATCAAGCTGGTGACCGATATGACAGCGCTGCGACAGCAACAAGCTGCTCAGAACGGCAGTCCCCAGATGCGACATCCCAAGTTTGTCGATGCAGCGGCGCTGAGGGCTCTTGAAGGAGAGCCCAACTCGGCATCAGTCGGAAACTGGAACTGGTTGAAGAAGAAACCGTGGGATACCAGCTCGCCATCCTCAAGCACCAAGTCACCGCACAGCGCGTCTCGCAGCCCTGGTCAGCAACAAGACCTCTCACCAAACGACCGCCCAATCATGATCGGAATCAAACTGCCCGAAGGCACGGAAATCCCACAAACAGCTATTCTCGAGACGGCGCCCCAAGACTTTCCGCCCAAGTATGAAAGACAACCTACAACTAGCCCAAACACTGTCACTCCCTTGACTCCTTCACAGCAAAGATCGGTTTGGAGTCCCGACACACCAGATTCGACTGTGTCGTTCAAGGCGCCGCGAGCGACTTCTAGCCTCTACTCGCAGGCGACTGGTTTGGGCGTCGGGATTCCTCATGACGCGCCTCCAGTCCCGTCCGTGCCCTCAACTTATAAGCAGCAAGAAAGGGTGGTCAGTATTGTTCTCAAAGACAATGAGGATGACGACGAAGACGGCGGAAGCCCCTGCACCTTGTTCGAGGAAGACGGCGTGACCGCCAATCGCCGGAAGTCGGTCAAGGCCAAGGAGGTCTCAAAGAGTCCCGGAAGCGCTGAAACCCAGACTCGTGGTTGGTGGGATCATGTTACGACCCCATTCATGGACAGGAAGAGCCCCATCGCTACATTCAAGAGTGAATCACAGCCAGTCAAGCAAACACAGCACGACGACTGGTGGAGTGAAAAGGTGCCAGAGGTTGCGACACCCAAACCTACATCAACAGAGCCCACCTCCATCGTCAAGACAGTCGAGATTCAACAAGTTACTGTCCAAAGACCTGGCTTGCCTGCATCGCCAAAGCCGTCGCCAAGGAATATTCAGGCGCCGATCGTCAGAGTTCCTACCCCCAGGAGAACACCATCACCGCTCATGGACCGTCGCGAACCGTCGCCGGCATCGTCTTCCCGTTCAATCACCCCGAGACCTGAGTTCCAATCGGAAAAAGTGGCCATTGCCCAACCCAGCCCAGCGCCTTCAGAGCTACCTCCCCCATACTCGCCGCCTGAACAACAGAAAGCCGTCAGATATAGAGCCGTCTTTCCTGCGGGCCATCCCCTTCAAGCACTCTACCCACCCTCACCAGGCCCCATCTCCCCCGCCATCAACGGAACCATGAGTTCTCAAGGAGGCATCAACCTGACCGACATTCCTCTCACACCAGCGTGTGCCAATCCTGGAGGACAAAATCGCCTACCCGACCGGGTTGCGGGCACTTATGTACCACAAGAGCACTTTCTCCCAGCATCCGGACATGCTCACCGCGTAGAGAGACAGCGCCGCCGCCATGAGAAGGAAGAGGTGGTAGCTCGCAAAGCTGGTGGCGCCTGGAAGGGTCGCGGATGCGTCCCCGCCGGTGGATGCTACGGCCGCAGTGGCCGAGAGGGCCGCAAGAGGAGACGAGTATGGCTGGGTGTGTGTGCTGCAATTTTTGCAATCATTCTGATCATCATCCTCTGCGCGACGCTTATCCCGCGGGGAGGAGCCCCTCCCCAAATTGACAGCATCTTTGTCAATCTCACCGACTTCCCTCCCATGCCGACTGGGGTTCTCTCCGTGGTTGGCCCTGACAATACTGCCGCCGTCACTGGATGCAGCAGCCCGTCTACAGTATGGAGCTGCGCGCTACCGAAGGAGGAACAAGAGTCTGTGGCACCTTTCCGCCCCAATCAACCGACGTTCGTCATGCAGATCCAGTGGGATAACAGCACCCGAAATCTGTGGAACGTTCCCAATGGCGAGATACCCGTCCCAGGGTCAAAGACTACGAAACGCAATGTGAAGCGAGGCAGCCTCATCGCCAGAGCTGGTGCTTTCATCCGTCGACAAAACCCGGCTTTCAAACCCAGCCCCAAGGCTCCGACTTTCCAAGAGATGTACTTTCTCGGCAACACAACTGATGGCATCGTCTCGAGTGAAAAGGGTGGCGAGCCAACCCCCTTCTTCCTCAGCATCCTCAAGTCTGCGAATGAAACCGTGGGACCCAACGCCATGGATAGGCGCCAGGACTCGTCCGGCGATATCTCGGTCAACCTCCCTGCCCCCGACCTAGAGGCTGACGGCACCGGAGCTCCCGCGCAGCTCTTCCCTAACGCCGTACAGCAGCCTGTTCGTCTCTATGACCGCGGCTTGCCGACGGAACACTACGGCTTTTATACCTACTTCAAGCGCACCATCTATCTCAAGTCTGTAACAACCCTGAACGGTAGTGACGAGACCGACGTGCCCCTTGACGAGAACGGCGGCTCTCGCAGAAGCGAGGCCAAGTTCCTCGTGACGTGGTCGCAGACGCGTTTCCTCGTGCAGATCTGGACACGATCGGACAACAACACCCAGCTTCTTGGTACCCGAAACAGGGCCAGCTCGGAGCAGCCTGGCACGATGCCTTACCCCGTCACCATCAAGACGGACACTCACGGCGGCCAGTCAGGCGAGAAGTTTGTTTGGCACTGGCCAGTGAACGACAGGCAAGGCATCGATACCAGCGAGCCAAAGTTGCTTCCCAACGACCTGAGCTTCGGAGGCACGAGAGTGAACCCACGTAAGAATGATGATACATCATTTGGAGGATTTGATGGCGGCACTGGTGGTTGCCGTTGTGAATGGGCGAATTTTATTGCGAAAAGAGATACCAATACTAACTGAAGGGCATAAGTTTATGATGAAGCATGGAAACGGATATGGTTATGGATATGGGATGGAACCATCATTGGACTACAAGCGAGCATGGGACATGGAGGGATGGATATCAAAATGCATAGTTGCATCTGCATAGTGTTTTAATCAAATATCAACTAAAGTTCATATTGAAAAGAATGGTTTCAGTTAAAAGATCGCCGGGTTTTCCTGTGCTACAGCGACTACTTTTCTTGTAGTTATATACTCTACCTTACCGCCGTTGTCGCCATCTCAGCCAAAGTACACAGGTCGTGCCGCGTTTGGTGGATACAGAGTGACATTTCGAGGTTGGGAAGATACCAGAAGGGGCGAGCTGAAATTAGGTGAGTTGGGAGTCCCCAGCCACCGTGGCGGATCCCAGCGCTGAGCAGTGGGGCCTTCGACCTATCGGCGCCACACTTTCCATCTAATCGCGCGATTGGCGCCAGTCGGAGGGTCCAGGCCGCGATAAGCACGTCGTTCCCCGACTCACGCTAGTGGCTTGGACAGGTGCATGTGCTCAATCAAGGTGCTAAGGCACGGCAAGGTATTGGCAGGTTGGTTGCTCGTGTGCCGTAACCCCTCCAAATATTCCTCGCTTCATCACCAAGATCTTTGCATATTCTGCAGCATTACTTCCCGCCTCATCGCCAACCAGAGCACCAGCTCAGATGCACGCTGCTGTCGCTGGACGCCTTTCCCCAGGTAACGTTGGACCCCACCACGTCGGATATTGACTCTTGTTTCGTCATGCTGACTTATCACCGTCAACAGCCTGACTGCCGATTCAATCCACGACTCGCTCGCGACATCGACTGATTGGCGCAGAAGGGAAGAAAACTTTGAAGCTCAACACCGCGGCGTACCGAATCCCATCGACAACGTAGACACACTTAGCGTTGCCGGAGACGATGCAAACATTCTAAGATGGCGAGTCCAGACGGCGGAGCTGCTCCAGCTTCCCTTGACCTTGACGATCACCGCTCGCGCGAAGATGGAGACTCGATATCGGGCAGCTCCCACATAGGGAGTGACGCTTCGGATAATTCTTTAGAACGGGAAGAGTGTCGCTGGCGAACTGCTCGATTTCATGATATGGAGTGCTCTCGCTTCTTCGACTGCCCGACTCACGTCGTCGAGAGGCATCTCTCTGGGGACGAAGACGAAGACGAAGATAGCAATGCGGGAGAGGGGCCGTCACGGCAGCTTCAGACGGCTAGTGACAGAGCCGAAAGCTCTTTGAGCACCAGTCAAGAGCCACAAGTAGCGATCTCTACCGTGGCGGCAGGTTCTCCTGAGCGGGACCCAACAAGCTTTGCGCCCGGGCCTGAGGAGACCAATACGGAGCAAACGCCGGAGCCAGCAGAGACAGCACGGGCAACTTCGGCACAGGAGATCGAAGAATCTGAAGAGTCTCAGGATCCCGAAGAACCCGCGCCGGCACCACCTACACCACTGAGCTCGCGGCTGTCTGAATCCTCTGTTCATTCTCAACCTCTCCCACCAACAGCCACGCCTACTCAACCCACCGGAGAGTTCGTCCCGCCGCAGAGGACTTCAAGTCTGGTCACATCCCAAGCTGCAGCTGCATCTGCGCAAGAACTAACTCTTCGCCCGGCTCTGGTACCTCGTCGATCGCAAGAAGCGCCTCCGCCGCCGCCCAGGAGGTCGAGTTCCTCGTTTGCTCCTTTGCCTGTTCCGCGCAACCAGCAATCACCTGAGGAACGGCGAGGTCCTCCGGAGATCAACTTGCCACGGTGGCAGCCCGACGCAGAAGTGACCTATTGCCCTATTTGCCACACGCAATTTAGTATATTCGTAAGAAAACATCATTGCAGGTAAGTTTGCTTGGTGGATGTGTCAACGCGACTCATGTTCTGACAGTGCTCAGGAAATGTGGCAGAGTTGTTTGCAATTCTTGCTCGCCTCACAGAATCACTATCCCTTACCAGTACATCGTACAGCCCCCAGGTCAACCACGCCTGGCCGCGCAGAGATACCCGTCGTCCCTCATCAGTGGTGAGGGAGGATATGCCGATTTCAGCAGTCTAGGGGGCGGAGAGCGCGTTCGTCTATGCAACCCATGCGTCCCTGACCCGAATACTACGCCTCCACAGCCGCTTGACTCGCCCTCGCAATTATCACCTCGAGGATCTCATTACAGGTCGCAGAGCAGCATCAGCACGATGTCCAGCAACGCACCGCCACCTAGCAGGTTCTCGGGCTACTTCACGGCAAGCCCTTCCCAGGATGCCTATGCAAGATATAGGAGCATCACGGTAAGCAGAGCATGGAGCATTGGCTCAAACGAAGTAGCTGACAGACGTAGCATTCCGGTCCTGGTGGGCCTTCAAGCTCTCGCGGACATTACCACTCCACTCAAAACCGGATTATGGCCGGGACACCTCCAACGTACTACCCTTCCTCATCGGCGGTCTATCCGGGCTCATCCCGTTACCGGTCCATGCTGGACGTCGGACCCTCGTCGTCGTCTTCGTCGGCCGCACAGAACCGCGCTCTGCCGCCGCCGCCGCAGATCGCCGAGGAGGACGAGTGCCCCGTCTGTCACCGAGAGCTACCCTCACGCACCTTGTCAAATTTTGAACACTTACGTGAGAAGCACATCAATACTTGCATTACCTCGCACAGCACATACGGCGGCACGCCAACAGGCGAAACGCCGCCATCCGGTACCCCGCCGCCTCTAGCCGCGCGCCGGACGGGAATGTTCCCCTATGTTGCTACGGAGAAGGATTGCGTAGACTCTGCGGAATGCACTATCTGCCTTGAAGAGTTCGAGGTTGGTATCCCTATGGCGCGGTTGGAGTGCTTGTGCCGTTTCCATCGGTCTTGCATTTCGGCCTGGTTCGTCAATCACCCTGGACGCTGTCCCGTTCACCAGCATGATAGTTTTGGCTATTGATACCTCGGGTTGTCTACTTGTTTCCCATTGTCTCTCGTCCACATCTCGGCGTTTCGGTTAGCATAGGGCCCCCTCTTTAACCCAGTCCATCTTTTGGAAGACATTCCTTTTGGTATTGTACGCAGCGAACAATATGGTCGGTGTCCTCTTTCCCCCCCTCTCTATATCTCCTACCCAACTCCTCTTTCGTGCGGTGCCGCTTGAGATGAGATATTCCCCGATGTGACATACCAAATGAGGGGTGTTTCGGCTCTTGCTTGGAGGTGGATATATGCCATGCACGTGTCGTCATCAAATGTGGGCATCTTTCACACTACGCGATTTGGCTGTTGTTGTTCTGGACTCTGGCCCATTGACGGCGTAGGGTTGCATCTGGGTATACTTTTTCAGTAGATACTGCTGAGCGAAGAGGGGTCGCAGAGACACGGCTTTTGTTGATCGTCACACACAAACACACCCAAAAACACAGAGGACTCTCGCTCTTTCTTTCTCTTTTTCAGCTTGACGGAAATACCATGCAATCAGATAGATAGATATTTTGGAGCCCACAATGCCACTTACGGCGAGATACCCGCCCAAAGCTGTCTTACCCACGGTTTCACCTTGAGCAAGGAGGCGCAATTCGTGGAGAAGCGTGTAACGTGACTTGTAGTGACGTCGAAAGGAGGCGTGTCGGCTCAAGTCATCGGCGCTCCTTGCACCGCTCGCGCCGAGGACGCCGACGTTGTCCTGCCGTCTGTGGTGCTGTCGGCGTCGTCTGCTCCCTCTTCGAGTCTTCGAACCTTTTCAAGTTATTCTGCCCACGACAGGGGCCTAGAACGTCCGGCAAGGTCGGGCCAGTCGGCGCGGGTGGGGCACGGAGTGGATATCAAGGGTGGAGCTGGGGGACTTGCGCCAGGGATTCACGATGCACCTGGCCCCGGCCCCTGGATGTTCTCGAACCCGTTCCATCCTTCTGCTGTTGGCATGCGGTGCCTATTGGCGAACGTGGGAGGCTTCCGCAGGCAGGATGTGCGGCACGGCAGGAGGAGCAGAAGTTCCTCATCTCATCTGCCCTTCATCCACCTGAGCGCATTTGATGAGCTTATTCTTTTTTTTTCTCATTTAATTGCACACTGGCTTGCGGTGATTATCTGCCTGCGGCCGAGTCGGACAACTCAGTCGAACTTCATCTCTCAGGCCAGGGGTAGACGCTGTTGCGTGTATCCGTACGCGCGCGACAGGCGGAAAATGACCTGCTGCAAGGCCAGATTGATTGGACGAACCGGCGAAACTTTCTGTGATGAGTGTAAATAAGTAACAGAAACGTTTACGTTTCTCCCGCAGTATTTTCCCGCTCCCGCCTTCTGCCCCCAAAAGGTGGCACGAGCACCCCCCAAATAGGTTCATCGGATTATTGTCAATATGCGGAAAGAAAGAAGCAAATGGGGGGCCGATCCGGCTGTTTGGGGTAGAGGAAGGAGGCCTATATCGACGTCGGGACATGGCACGCGCTGTGCATGATGTTGAGCAGTCAGAGACGGGATGTCGCAGCGCGGGCGGCTTCAGCCCTAGGTCGGTGTCACCACCCCTCCTCCTGTCTGTCTCCCCTCCTCCGAATGGGTATTCGAGCTGTCATCGGAGGCAATCCTGTGGGCGCCCGATATTGTTTTTCTGGACCTTGGTTTTAATGTTTCCCTCTTGTCGACGTTTGTTTGGTGAGCCAATGTCCATCCTCCCCGCCGTAGACCCGTTTCACACCCCCGTCCAATTTAGATGACGATGGAGCCACGCTCTCGCCACGAGCCAGCAGGCATGCCTGGAAACGGCACCACGGCGCCGGGGAGAGACACCCGCAGAGGGCAGAAATTTGCGGCACTCTAGTCTGTTTGGCAGCGTGTTTGCATCCTGCTGGTCCGATGGGAAGACGAGGATGAGGCGTGTATATGTGATGGCGGCGCATGGGGGGGAGGGAAAATAACTCGCGCAGCTGCTTTGTAAGTGGCGCCGCCGCGTTGCCCTTCTCCTTCAATCAGGCTGCAGCAGATGGGCTTGCAATGTTAATAAAATAGAGATCTCCCGCTGCTCTCCTCCTGCTGCCGGGAAAAGAGGTGTTGGTCCTGTTAAACCGTTCGTGCGAACCCTTTTGAACCTCTTTCCTCATCCACGCTGGTCTCTGGTCTGGAACATTGTCGTTGCCCCTTTCGCGGCTTGCCACTCCTTCACTACCAACTGCTGTTCTCTCATTGCTCTTTTGCAACGGTTCACCTGTATCTTCATCAGTAGTTCCTCTTCGGCCTGGAACTCACCGTAACATCCGTCCTTCTTCAAGTCCAAACTTCGACACAATGAAGTATCAAGTTCTTCTCCTGGCCGCCTCGGCCGCCAACATGGCCCTCGCCAAGCCCGTCAAGCCCTGCTCGGCCCGCAGCCGTAGCACCAAGATCATCACTTACACCCAGACGGGAACGAGCGCCCCCATCCAAGCAACTCCCGTCGTCCTGCCGTCCCCCGTCGAGACCCCCGCCGAGTCGTCCGCACCCGCCACAACCCCCGAAGCCTCCCAGGCCCCGGTTGAGGCCGCCGCCAGTTCCTCTACTGCCGCCGCGAGCACCCCCGTCGCCTCCACGACCCCCATCAGCGCCGAGTCCACCTCCGGCGAGTCGACCTTCTACGGCGGCAACACCTCCGGAGGCATGTGCTCCTTCTCCACTTACACCATCCCCTCCGGCCTCTACGGCACCGCCTTCTCCGGCGCGGCCTGGGACTCCGCCGCCAAGTGCGGCGCCTGCGTCAAGGTGACGGGCCCGAACGGCGTCATCACCGCCATGATCGTCGACCAGTGCCCCGAGTGCTCCGCGGGCCAGCTCGACCTGTTCCAGGACGCCTTCGCCAAGATCGGCGACATCTCGGCCGGCAAGATCGCGACGTCGTACGAGTTCGTCGAGTGCGGCATCACGTCCGCCATCAAGCTGCACAACAAGTCGGGCACCTCGTCGCACTGGTTCTCCATGCAGGTCCTCAACCACAACGAGCCCGTCGCCAAGCTCGAGGTCAGCACCGACGGCGGCAGCACCTGGCAGGCGACCACGCGCCAGCAGTACAACTTCTTTGAGAACTCGAGCGGCTTCGGCACCGAGACCGTGGACGTCAAGGTCACGAGCGAGAGCGGGTCGTCGGTGACTGTCAAGGATGTCAGCGTCGCGGCCGATTCCGAGACCACGGCGTCGGGTAACTTCTAAGTTGCGAGCGGTCGGCTGGAGTTGAGAATGCGAGGTGTGGGAGATTATCGGAGATTCGCTCCTGTATACGTCGTACTTTCTTCTGGTATGCTGGCTCATCTCCGACAAATCTGTAAGGGGTCGTCGGCCGAGAGCACTGTCTCTCTATTCACTTCTCTTTTCTCTTCTGAAACGCTCATGATGGTCGGCGTTATCTTCTTGTGGAATGACGGGTTAAGGATTATAACGACCTGGGATTTGGGGGGAAAAGGTCTAGTTCATATGGGAAGCCCAGGAACGGGATGGTCCTGGAAGATAAGCGGGCGGCTTGTGCCAGATCACAATCCCCCCCTTGGCTCGCGCAACCTTTGCGGGAGTAGTGTAGCAATACTTCGATTCATACGATCTCAATTAAGCCGAAACCTAAAGGCATCTTTTCTCTGGTATGACAGCGTTAAAATGCCCACCATGCCACTACCTATCGTGGACGATCAAGAACGCCCTTATCCAGGTTCTTGACCGTGATGTCTGGCCGTGCATAATGTATGTTTTGTACATACTGCCAGACAGGTTGTTGCTCTTGCGGACACATCAGCTGCGTGGCTTTATCTACATCTTAACGGACATTTTTTGTGAACTATCAGATCCCCTCGGTGTCTCGTTTCAACGTAGCTACATTTTCTATATAATAGAAAAACACGAAACCATACTCAGGACGATACCGAAGACGAAGGGGACGACGGGGACGACGGGGACGATAGCGAGCCTACAGGCGAAGTATTCGTTTTCGATATAAGCAGAGCTACATAGCCAATTTTCAGCTGCCAAAACCTAATATTATCTCTCAGAATTATTTCAACGGTAGGTCCACAAGGTAGCAGACGAAGCGGTTCGACAAATTTTCAAAGTTGCCATGAAGGTCTTAAGTTGAAGTCAAGTATAAATGAAAGCACTTAAAAGGCTTTCTCACATTTCACCTCCCTTCACGCTACAGCTTGCACACCATGACCAAAACTTTTCACTCTTTCTCGAAGCTGCCAGCTGAGCTCAGACTATGCATCTGGGAGTTGGCAGTTCGACCTACGCGTCCCGACCATCCGGGAGCTCATTTCTTTTCAGTCCAACGAGACGTCAAAACGGGCAAGCGCTTCACGGCATTCACCTCCTTTACACAGAAGTCGAAACCACTCTGCAGGGAAGATAATCCTTCGGCATACTTCTACGACTTTGGCATGTGGACAGCCTGCAAGGAGTCGAGAATGGTCGTCACCAAGCAAATCGCAAGATGTTACAAAGACCTTCGCTGGGGAAAAAGCCGCGCTGTTGCTCGCATACGACATGGCCAGCAAAGCATAACGTTTGGTCTATTTCCGGGGCAAGATCTCATTTGCATGCAGCTTCCGGATACGAAGAATCTTTATCCATATGCTTATAATCCTCTCTCTTATCTTGATATATATACGAAGTACTCCCATACAGTGATGGCGTCTATCGCGTTTGAGTACGACGAATCCTGGGCTTTTGACCCAGAAAAAGACCAGATTGGTACCATGATGGCCGAGCCGTGATCACGCCGATGTATATGCAGATGACCATATAGACGTGTTGGTATGCGAGAGAGCTTAGAATAAAGACATTCCGCGTCTCTACGTGATACGAGAATGGAGGATTGTTAAATTGTCTCATGTGATAAGAGCAGATTGTAGGAGGTGTCTTATGATTCCAGATTGATTGTCGTGCCGTATCAATGGGCAAGACAGGGTGCATCAGCAGGTTTGAAAATCATACCAACGAGGATGATGATAAAAGCGGCGACGAGGACGACAATGTCAAGAATGACAGGGAACGTGAGCGATGTTTGTTAGCCTAGTCTTCAATTTTGCTAGGAGTCTAACAACATGATTGTCCCTCCCCTGGACTCGAGCAAGACCCTGATTATTGGCTTGCGACCATATTCTCTCAAGATCATGCGCCATGTCCTTTCAGATTATGTGGTTGAGGTTTAGCCCAAGGCAGGCTCCTCGGAAAGACAGACGAAGCGAAGGACACACGACGGCTTTACCCTCAAGTTATTGTAGTGTAACACCAATCGAAGGGGTCGCAGTCGATTCATGAGGGGAGAAAATTAAGATGAGAATGATTGCATGCGAAATTCCCCCAACGCCCCTTCAGATTCAATATGATATTGCGGAGGATGCAAACTGACTAGTTGCTGGTGACATACATACCTTGAATGGTTGTGGCCCAAGATATTCCGAGGGGGGCTAAGGTGGCGGTTTGTTTCATTAACAAGGAAAACCATCCAGATCCAGGAATGCTCGAGTCGGTGGAATCGGGGGATCAATCAACCGGCGCTGGCATTGTCTTGCTGCGATCGGGCGGCAATTGCGACGGGCTCGGAGGCGTTGGTGGCTGGGCCCTGCCAAGACGGCAGCGATGGATGTCTCAGTCTAAAGGTTGCTTTGATAACGTTCATCAACAGCAACGACCGCTTTTGCCAGATGCAGTTTGGGGTTGCTGAAATTGGGCTGGTTGGTCGACGGTGAGCATGCGCCACTCGGTTGACCTAGCTGCGTTGTCATGTCAAATCTCGAGGCGTAGCAAGTGCTCAAGCCTGCCCGACATTGCGCGGCCATCGGTGATCTGAGTAACGATCAAAAGCTTGCGGGTGTTCCTGTGGCTGCTCTGTATCAGCAAGAGACATTGGCGCAACACTGTAAATTAGCAGTGACGAAGAGCGAGTGCAACAAATTCCGGGTGCGCACCACCAACACACCACTAGAAGTCAACCCGTCGAGACCCGTCAGCCGTCGGCCAGTCTTCGGTTTACGATGGTCCGATCGAAAGAAGGATGCGCGGCAAGGATTTGGCAGTTGGGCTTGCTGTGATTCGGCGGAGGGGTTGGCAGTTTGCGCCCGTTGGACAGGGTTGCCCAGGATAAGGTACCGTATCCAGGTTTTGGGGTCATGAAGGCTGCCAGGACCTCGGCCCCGTCCGGCCGCAAGCGCAAAGACAGAGCGCAGTCGGGAGAGAGAGAGAGAGAGAGAGAGGGGCACGGGAGGGGTCGCGCGGTGGGTTGAAATCCCAGAGCTGAAGTCTGCCAGCCTCAGAATTTTGTGGCTGACTAGAATGTGCGTGTCATGAAAGCACAGAGGCTTCGGAGTTTTGATCGTCTGGTGCCTTGCTCAACGCTTGGTTGCCTCTGCTCTGCCTGCGAGCGCGCGTCTCTTGAATGGCGATGCAAACTGTAAGCGGTGCTGGCTTACTGAGCGGATGGCGAGAGCCTGGGATGAGACGACATGCGCCGGGCGGATAATAACAGGATGCCTTGCAGTAGCAGCATGTTGCAGATGCACGTCGTTGTTGGCGCCAATATCTGGCAGGTCACGCTTGGGAGAGCGGAAGCCAGTCGTGTGTGGCGCGGCGGTACAGTGGCACGGCAGAGCGCTTGACGAGATGATGTCGCACGCTGTTACTTTCGTCTAAGGGATGGCCGAATGCCGCGAGTGTAGATCAGCATTGGTTCTGTGGACGTCCAGTTGGTCGGATGGGGATTGGCAGTTGGGATGAGGATGAGGTGCATACAGACGGATACCGTTGACACCTTGCACACAGCTGGACATGGGGAGGAAACATAAAAAAAAACGTTTCTCCAAGCACCCAAGCTGGAAAACCGGCTCGCCCAAACCTGAATGGAACCAAGCCAACTGGAACTTGGCCTGTTCAGAGCCTCTCCCCCGCTTGCCCTGGAACCGCTATTGCTTCCATTCCCAATGCAACCCTTCCGGGAGGCCACCCAAGCAAGCTGACCATCCCTGGCGAACAGCTCCATCAGCCAATCCCGCTGGTCTGGCTCGACAGGGGGGCGCTGCCCTGGCGTGCTGTAGACGGCTCCCCGCCCGCCTCAAGTGTCCAGTCAGAAGTGTTTCCTGCTTCTCCCCCAGCTGAACAATTACGTCGTTATCCGCAGCCAAGTCCACGGGCCACATTACCTTTGAGCAGAGCAATTCCCTTTCCTCCACATTGGCTCGAGTGGAGTGAGGGCGGCGCTATTCTATTTGGGCGAGCTTTTGTGAGACTTGGGTCGGCAGCACTTCAGGTCAGCTCGGCTTCGAGATGTGGTTTAGCTGTCCACTGTTGTGTATGGAGGAGGCAGGTGTTTGCCAAGAAACACAGAGCACTGCGCACCTTGAGTGGAGGTACCTGAGGTCGGTCCTCTGCTAGCGCTGAACTGAAGCAGCTTCGTCTCGTCCCATCATCTCGTTACACCTTGCACATCGATTGCACCTGTCCTCGCACCTGCACCGCCTTGCTTCCAGTCGTGTCGTTTGTGCAGCAGCCGGCTTTTGTGCCAGCCCAGCAGCTTCTTCTGCTTCTTCTGCTTCTTCTTCTTCTTCTTCTTCGGCCCCCAATTGCTACCTTGCCAGCAGCTCCCACCTGTGCCGCCTCCACGCCACGGAGACGCCGCTAAGCTAAACCTGACGGGCCCGTAGCGACCCTGACGTATCTGAGCCAAAACTCCATCCAACCTTTGGCCTTTTCCCTTCTCTGCCACCGAACCTCTCGCCTTTTTCTCGCCGTTTGCTTTTTAGCTTCCCGCCTTGTTTCTCTTCCACCCTTCTGTTCTAACCTCCACATTCTCACCACTAGTACGACAGACTACTGGCCGACCAGCCACAGTCCGGCCTTGCTGCATTCACTCCCTCCCTCCTTTTCCCTTTCTTCGCAGATCCCATCTATCGTCTCTTTTTAGTCCGAGACCCTCCCGAGACCCTCGTTGCCCTCCTTTCCCCTTCTAAAGTTGCTTGTTCTCCATCTTCCCACAAATCCCCAAGCCGACCAGGCCATCGGTCCACGTCATCCACCCGGCACCCGCGAACCCTCTATGTGTCGACACGGAATCACGAGCTGAGTGCCTTGCCAATTGACCGCGACGCCGCACACACAGCTGCGAGAAGCAGCGCCCAGATCTCGCCGACATGGCTTCCACCGAGAAGGAGAAGAACGAGCTCAAGGTCCAGGGCGTCGTTGAGGCTGCCCAGGACCCTGAGAGCAACGTTTCTGCCGACGACGCGCAAAAGAAGATTGTCGAGGAGTCCAAAAAGGCCGGTATCACGGCCTTCACTTTTGATCCCGATGCGAGCCCCGAAGAGAAGCGCGCCCAAGCTGCAGCCGTGAGTCGCGCAACCTTATGTAAACAACCCCGGAGCTTGACTGACTGCTTGTGAACAGGCTGTCCCTCCCGGCTTCCACTCCCAACGAACAAAGGGCATCTCAGTCGTCACTGACGTTGCCGACTCGAGCGCTCCCGTAACCGACCTCCCCGAGCCGACCAAAGCTGGTGCCATTGAGGTTGTCAAAGATAAGGACGGCAAGACACTTAATTCGGGCGAACACCCAGAAGGTGTCGAGGAGGAACCCTACACTAGAACTGGATGGGCTCCTCAGTTTGGCTGGCCCAAGGATGGCGTTCACGATAGCGTGAGTCTCCTGGATCACTCCACCTGGCTCGAGAGCAACATCCCGGACAAATTCTATGGCGACTGGTACCACAATGCTGCCATTATCGTCTTTGCCTGTATTTCGTCCTGGCTGGTCGCGGTCTTGGGCGGCGGTTTGGGCTGGGTCTTCATCCTTATGGCAGTCTGTTCCACATACTACCGCACCTCCATCCGCCGGGTTCGGCGCAACTTCCGCGATGACATCAACCGAGAGCTGTCCTTGAAGAAGCTCGAGACTGAGGTCGAGTCTCTCGAGTGGATTAACTCGTTCATGGTCAAATTCTGGCCAATCTACCAACCCGTCCTCGCTCAGACCATCATCAACTCGGTTGACCAGGTTCTGAGCTCAGCCACTCCCGCGTTCCTGGACAGCTTGAAGCTCAAGACGTTTACACTGGGATCCAAGCCGCCCCGCATGGAGCACGTCAAGACCTATCCCCAGGCCGGAGATGACACCGTCATCATGGATTGGAAGTTCAGCTTCACACCCAATGACACAGCGGATATGACTTTCAAGCAGATAAAGAACAAGGTCAACCCGAAGGTCGTTCTCGAGATCAGAGTCGGAAAAGCCATGATTAGCAAGGGTCTCGACGTCATTGTCGAAGACATGGCTTTCTCCGGCATCATGCAGCTCAAGATCAAGCTGCAGATTCCTTTCCCTCACGTCGAAAAGGTGGAAATGTGCTTCCTCGAAAAGCCCGTGATTGACTACGTCTGCAAGCCCCTCGGAGGTGAAACGTTCGGATTTGACATCAACTTTATTCCCGGTCTGGAATCCTTCATCCTTGAACAAATCCACGGCAACTTGGCTCCCATGATGTACGCGCCCAACGTCTTCCCTATCGAGGTTGCCAAGATGCTTGCCGGCACTCCGGTCGATCAGGCCATTGGTGTTGTGGCCGTCACGCTCCACGGAGCCCAAGGCCTCAAGAATCCTGATAACTTCTCGGGCTCTCCTGACCCCTACGCTGTTTTGACCCTGAACCGGCGCCAGGCACTTGCCAAGACTAAGCATGTGAAGGATACCTCCAGCCCTCGTTGGAACGAGACCCACTACATCATCA